AGGAATGCCTTCAACAATTAAGGATGAATTAACATAGGGAGTTCCCTGGTGGCCTAGTGGTTGGGATTCCAGGCTTTCACTGCCTTGGCGCTGGGGAGCAATCCCTGGTCAGGGGAACTGAGATCCTGTAAGCTGTGTGGCAGCCTAAATTAATTAATTAACATCAAAACTAAGATTAGTTAACTATCTAAGATTAACTATATTACATCTTCTGTAAGGTGTTTATTATATTTGAAAAAAGCAAACTGCAAAAACAGCATATATAAAATTACACATATGACAGTGTACATACAGGGGAAAAAGAGGAATATGGGAATATATTCAACTGTTAATAGTGGTTATCTTTGAGGAATGAGGATTAAGGAATAAGAATTCCCCAGCAATATAATTAAACATGGGGGCAAGGGCAAAACCTTCCTATTACCGGATGTTTGTTTTTAAACCAGTGCTTTTTTTTTTCAGTGAAAAATAAGCTAATTTTTAAATAAAATTCTATCTTTAGAAAATTTTAATCTAGAAAAACACTCAAAGTAGGGATGGAAAATGTTATGTCATAATCATTATACTAATGAAATTATATTTTAAAACTCAGGAGCAGAAAATACATAGGCCATTAAGAAGGATTTGCTTAGTCTTCGGAGGTTACAAAATGTGAACATGCTTGAACAAGTTTCCTTTGTCCTCTAGGCTATATTAAATTTTACTCATCCCCTTTCAACTGTGGCATCTAAAGCAGTATAAGAACCCAGGATTATGTATTCTCAGTTGTCATATAGAGGCTAGTTCAAAAACAGGAAAATTGATGTACTTTTCCACCTCACTTAGATTCAAACAAAACCCCAGCTGAGGGTCTGACTAGACTAGGCTACAAACTAGCCTAGAGGTCTTAGGAAAATTCTCGTTTCCTCTAGAGTACAATCAAGTGGGATATTTGAGAGGTAATCATATTTTCCTAAGGTTGAACACTCAAAAAAATATTTGCTTCTGGTAGAGAAATTGTACTTAATTTGTACCAATTTGCATTACTGAAAGGCAAAAGTAAAAACTTGTCTACTTTGGATATATGTGGTTAGAAACTACAAGTCTACTCAAGGCAGAATTTTTATAAAATACAGAATGGATTTAAGAGATGAGTTAGTAAGAAATATTTTCCATAAGTGATAACCTTATTTCTGAGGTGCTATGTTAGTTTTTGCCTACTCTGTACTATATCTCTAAGAAAGAGGAAATTTTAGGTTGCTTTGCATATAAAATGAAGGTTTAACGAACAGAATCAAAGATACTGAGGACCTCAGATAACTGGTCTAACTGTCCTCCCCACCTTACGGTGAAAACAGGCCCAGAAAGACTGACCTGCCCAAGGACACAAGGCAGGTTGCCATCTCTAACATTACGCCTCCCAAAGTCTAGATGTGAAAATGAAAGAGACTGATTTGTGCCATCTATTGTATTTAAACCTATTTTGAGGTTGACAAAACTGATAGATTCTCAGTTCTCTCCCGAAACCTCGAATACTCATCCCAAAGTGACGAGGACAGAATCATCTAAACAAGGTTATATGTTATGAAACACATAAAATAGGTTTTCTAGGGCAAAGGGTAAGGAAAGAATAATATTGGGCTAAATTATATGTTATGATTGCTGACCACTTGTTATAAAAATCACCTCTTTTTATATTAGTTTAAAATTCACCTCTTGTTATATCAGTTTAACAAGAATGTTAAACCAACTTAATTTTTTTAGGAGAAATAAAGTTAAAAACTAAAATGAAGGGCTTCCCTGGTGGCGCAGTGCTTGAGAGTCCGCCTGCCGATGCAGGAGACGCGGGGTCGTGGCCGCTGAGCCTGCGCGTCCCGAGCCTGTGCTCCGCGGCGGGAGAGGCCACAAAAAGGCGAGGGCCGCAAAAAAAAAAAAAAAAAAAAAAAAAAAAAAAAAACTAAAATGAAAAATAATGTTTTTAAAAAAAGACAAATCGGCCAAATTATGGTATCTATTTTGTTATAAACTGGATTTTTTGTTATGAACTGTGGCTTATATTAGGTATAGCCAAGTAATAAACATTTTGCCATTCAACTCCAAATTTCTCAGTAGCATTACTTTTAAAGGAAATGTTACACCTTTTATATTATTGGATTTGATATGTAATAACAGTTACAAGTACAGTGGCAAACACTGAAAGAGAGAACCCTTAGTAGAAAAGAAAAAGACAATTTGAAATCACGTTTTGTTAAAGGTGTTGTAAGTGCAACTTTATCCATAAGCATTCCTTTTAAGGCATTTTCTTTGTCCAAATATCTCAACATGTACATCAAGGTTTATATTATAAAATGGGCTCCTTTTGTATTATTCATTCAAGGCTTAAAGAAAAAAATACATCTCAGGACTAAGTGTAGCAGAAAAGAAAACACAAAAATTCACTTTTCTCATTAAAAAGTAACTTAAAATACAAGTCATTTAGCATACATTATTACTCCTCATTGTAATTCCAGATTTGGTACAATATCTTTTTCACTTCCTGACATAAAATTTTAAGACAGTGCAGGCTGTAATACTTCATTTGTGAGGTGGCTGCAATTCCGTAATATGCACAGTGATTTTTAAATAGGCTTTTACCATGCCTTGCATGAAAGGTGCTACATACAAACCTGTTTTGTGTACTCTTTGGTAACCACCAGTTCAAAAACTTGGACCGAACATTTCCACATTGCCAGATCTGAAGCACTTTATTGGAGCTCTGGGCCGAAGCTATCACCCTGTATATAAATTCTTTAGTTTCCGAGGGGGTTTGGGTATTGATTTAGAATAGAGTCAGATCATTAAAAGCATGTCAGGCCCCAGTCCAGAAACTGGCCCCAGTTAGTTTCTAGTTGGCTACACTATTTTGTTTGGCAGAAGTGGTTTATCTAAGGGAAAAGCATGACTTCATACTAAGTTTGCTTCTGATGGTATCTTTTGGAGACGGTAAGATATTCATGGGTTATCTAATCCTTTCTTGAAATGGTATGAAAAAGGTGATTAATATAATTGAGAATATTCCACTTTTGCAGTCTCAAGTATTCTCTTGGTTGTCTTGCTGCATTTTCTCAGGGTCAGCCCACTCAGGTTTAGTACTTTATAGGCTACCCTTAAGCATTTTCTAATTGAAGCAGTAATGTGCTGCCTCAGTCAGCATGTTCTCTATTTTAGGATATTAGTGTCCTGTAGAGACCAAGCTGTGATATCATACACCCTCACTGGGCTACCTCCTACTCATTAAATTTCAACTTTCAGTAAATGTCCTGGAATGTGTCCTAGTTGTGCAAATTAGATGCTAGTTAATATAAATCTAAGTTACCCACTCACTGTATTTAGCTAAAACATAATTTCTATATTTACTTTCAATTTATCCACCTAAAGATGAATTTACATTTTTTACATGCACGTGTCTCTAGACTGCCATGATACCCATTATCAATCTGATACTTGAATCTAGGGAGTCATGATGGAGACATGTTTCAAAGCCTAGAGAATAGGTTTTAAATATGTCTGTTGTGCAATATTTGTATTTTAGTAAGAATCCTTTGTATTTACATTTACATAGCACCTTTCATCCAAGGGTTTAAAAGTGATTTACCTTTACAGCATTATTTGGTGGCAAAACCTAAGTTAATGGTGGCATTACGAAGTCCAGGTTCTCTAACTTCCATTTCAGTTTCTTTTCAACTATACATGCTGTATTTATTTTCATTAATGGTCTTTCTGAAAGTAGACTATGAACACAGCAGTGTTACTGGCCTACCAAAAAGAGAAAGAAAAAAAGAAAGGTGTGAGGAAGGAGGGAGAGAGGGAGACATGTATCTCATGGCTACTAGGTTAATGATGAAACACACAGTTCATAAACCACACACTATGGAATTATTCCAAAAAGATTTTTAGAGCTGGTAGTGAGAGCCTAAGAAGTATACTGTTAAAATTAAAAAGTTAGTATCTTTCTCATTTCAGACCTTTAAGATTATTCTGATATTTGTTAAATAATGAATTTGCATTAGTATCAAATTTGTATCGATGCAGTTTTTTGACTTCATAAGAAAATAAAACTGTGATATAAAATTGGAACTACAAAAAAACTGATGTTTCCCTGGGTTGACTAAATTTACCTTTTTTTTGTGCTTCTTTCAAATGTTTAAGGTAACAAATGCATACAAATATTTCAAAAGTACCGATAACAGTTACCAACTTTAATGTATTATAAAGGACAAAAACAGAAAAATTTTTATTAATAAGTGATAACCTTAATAATAAATGAGTTCCTGGCAAAATGCAGATCATAGTAAATTATTTACATTATTTTTGCCATAAGAAAACTTCTTAAGCAACAGTCAGCTCTCAAGTTAAAAAAACAAACACATACATAACCCAGTACTAAAGGAGGGAAATGAGTTCAAACACAACAGGTTTATCTTGGGAATGCCATTTTCTAGAAAACCATCTTACTAAAAAAAAAGTTTCAGAAAAACACACTTTTAATTACCTTAGATCCATGTGTGAATTGCTTAGTGTTGCTAGTGGGGGATACGGAAAGATTAATATCACTGTAAATTTTTTATAACTCCTATCTTATTATGGATTTTTCAGAGTTATCTGATAAACTGAATTTCTTTTGCAGTGCATCAAAATAAAAGGCTTAAAAAAAAAAAGAATACCAACACATGCAGTCTGCTAACCAAATAAGGCTCTGACATGCCAAAACAATGTTCTCTGTATCTTGATATATAGTACATCCCACAACATACTACAGCATTTAATTTAGGTTTACACAACTAAATATAAATGGCTAGATTTAGACTAATACTTAGCAGAAGCATTAAGCAAACATGGATAAATTCATAAACAAATGATGAAAGAAGTATATTGTTCTTGGAGTACTTCTTGAAACCTTAAAACACTTGGTCCTTAGTGAGAGAACATCCTTTATTCAGTAGATCTTAACAGTACAATGTACGGTAAGTCACAAAACCTAAAAATTTTGGCAGTTGACTCCAGTAGTGCTCCTTGATTCAAGGAAGGAATGAAGGTTTGTATTTCTTTCCTGCTCTAGTCACGAAGGATTGTTAAAGTCTTAAAGATTTTAAAAAGTGATTCCTATAGTTGGGTGTCTTGTTACTTCAGAAATAAAGGCTTCACACTGAGAAACTGAAGGACACTTTTCTCTCTGTATTTAGTTGGAAGGTAGAAAGAAGAAAGAAAATATAAGAAAAGCTTGAAGATAAGAGATATAAAATACAGAGCAACCACTAAAAGAACAGCATGCACCAGATACTTCTATAGGGATGAGAGTGACAGAAAGTCAGAGACAATTTTTTTTTTAGTAGCTCTTCATAGAAAAGGCATTTAATTTATTCTCCTCAATTATCAAGAATGTTGCACAGAAGTTGTATTCCTACCACAAAGAAAGACTTCAAACTGAAAATAATTTCTAAAACATTACTCATTAGTAAAATCAAATTTAAATTGAGGGGAAAAAAGAAAAATAATTTTTAAAGATTGGTTTCCTGCACTGATGGGCAAAATCTTTTGGGACTCATCTAATCTTGATTTACTAGTAAGACAGAAAGTCATGAATTAAAGCAAGCAATATTTACATCTGTTAATGCAATGTGCACTTGTTCTTATACTTAATGCAGTTAGTTTGTATAAATGAGATTAATCTCATTTACATTTTAAGCAAGAAACTCACCACTTGGCCCACATGTCATGTAGTGGGTAATAGAATTAGGAGCTTTGTTGCTCCCTAGACCTGCTTTTTGAATTTCTGCTTTCTTGTACTTTGTCCACATCTGCAGGAGAAAAGCATTTCATGTTATTTAATGAAAGGCTAAACAGAATACAATTCATGAAGGTAAGAAACTAAAGAGCTCTCGTTGAGTAGGGCAAGGAGAAGGAATCTAACTCTGGAAATGTTATTAATCCGATAGACATCTCTTTACTTAAAGACTGATTTTTATATTTTAAAAGCTATTAAGTAATATACTTATGCCCTCTTAGTGTCAGATAGGTTTACTTACTATGTTTATTTAACTAAATGGTCACATACAGTTTTAAAGTAAAAAATAATCTTGCATGCAGCAGCAGAAACATCCACAATGAAATAATTGTATTATTTACTAAGAAAACCAGGGCTCGAGGAATATTTTATTGGCAAATAACATACCTACTTACACTTTTAGAACTAAAATTGCTTTGATTAAAGGGGACCCAATGCCTAACAATATAAATTTACAATGTCACAAATAATAAGGGTGTAATTTCTAGAAATCTAAGCTAGGAATATGAAAGCTATTCAGTTTCATCTAAAACTGGGGTACTAATACAGGCATACCTCAGAGATATTGCAGGTTTGGTTCCAGACCACTGTAATAAAGTGAATATTGCAATAAAGCAAGTCACAAGAATTTTTAGTTCCCAATGCATGTAAAGGTTGTGTTTACACTGTACTGTAGTCTATTAAGTGTGCAATAGCATTATATCTAAAAAACAAAGTACATACCTTAATTTAAAAATATTTTATTGCTAAAAAGTGCTAACCATCATCTGAGCCTTTAGCAAGTCATAATCGTTTTGCGATAGTAACATCAAAGACCACTGATCACAGATCACCATAACAAATATAACAATGAGAAAGTCTGAAATAGTCTGAGAATTACCAAAATGTGACACAGAGACACGAAGTAAGCAAATGCTTTTGGAAAAATGGCACCGATAGGCTTGCTCAACACAGGGTTGCCACAAATCTTCAATTTGTAAAAAAATGTGGTATCTGTTAAGTACAATAGAGCAAAGTGCAATAAAACGAGGTATGCCTGTAATCTGTGAAGCCACTAGAGTATTTATGGAGCTGTCTTGGAGGAAAAAAAGTGCAGCTGCTCAACTGAGTCAGAGTTGCTTCACTTTTATCTCAAAAAAAAAATAAAAAATTTTTTTTTTAAATTGGGGCATCTTTGTAAGATTTCATTCATAGAAAGTATTATGTTGATTTTTTTAAAGTTTGGGAAACACTAACTATATGATTTCTAAGGTTCTCACTGCTAAAAATTTGATTTCAAGTGCTATCAAGAAACACAGGTAAAATAGTGTTTGGGGGGAATTTTATGACTCTACAGCTGATGACAGTTTCTGGAGGAAGTATAACCTGTATTCTTTGACATCAAGACACATGGACATGGTATGTATCTATCTGTCTTACATGCAGAGTGTGCATGTTCTTTTGGAAAACATGCTGTATATATAACTATAGCCATCTGGGTTAGAAATACTTCTTTCCTGTAAGTCTAATATTGTAAAATAATCAATTTTTACTATAATAGCATATGATTTCTCAATATATTTTCATAAATAAATTTAATATTTTAAACAAAGTATAAGGCCAGACTTATCTAAAAAGTTGAAATGGTTGTGAAATAATCTTTGACTAAATGTGGAAATTACACTAATTATTACATTTGTATCATATATGGCCCCATGTAATCTCACCTATATTTACCATTAAGTTTTATTATCAGGTTATGCAAAAAGGGACACCGAAAACATCTGAAATGTTCGGACTGATTATGAAGCAAGTGACAACAAAACAGACTGATGTATTCATGTAGATACTAAAAAATATGAAAAATTTCTGATTGTGTTTATTTGATTACCTGCATTAAAAGCATTTTTAGTAAGAGCTGGCCATGAGAAAAGAAGAGAATAGCTTAATTTATAAAGGATACAAATGTCTTTCCTTCTTTCTTTTTTTTAAAAAGTTTTGGCCGTGCCACACGGTTTGCAGGATCAGGGATCCCTGGTTTCGCAACCAGGGATAAAAACCGGGCCCTCAGCAGTAAAAGTGTGGAGTCCTAACCACTGGACCGCCAGGGAATTGCCAGGATACACATTTCATTAAGCAAAGATTCTCTATAAATTTTGTTTTCTTTCGCCCAATTAATAACAATAATAATTTAATACAACATGTAAAATAATAATTTCCTCCCCATTTTTAAAGTTACATTTCAAATCATTTCTTCTAGATGCCAGGCTGCATGACTGTCAGTAATATTTAGGCTGAATCAAGATGGCAAAAACATTTCAGAGACAGAACTAAGATGTACTACTTCTCTAGAAGTAAGTGATTCAGGGTTATGGGTTTCTTGGGGTTTCTTTTATTCTGGAATAAAACAACTGAAGTTTAGCTGATTCTGCTTTAAAAGTGCTATGACCACAGCAAGATAATTTTAAAGTTTATGACATAAGTCAGAGTTAGCAAATATTTTCTCTATCTTTTATGATTAATTTTTAGTTAAGAGCTTGCATTTATTCTTAATTCTAAAATTTGTTCTACTAAAAACATACTTGTTTGTTTAAGTGATTACAAATACTAATTTTGCATTTTATTTTAGCACAATGTACTCATTTTAGAAAATTCTGTTTTAAGGACATACATAATTTAGTAATAAATAAATTATAGAATTATATAAGTAACAATCTTTACCACTTTATAAGCTTGCTACCCTTTTTGAACAGAAGTAAAAATGCAAATTTCTCACACACTGAGTATGATTTGCTTTATTTCTCTTTGACTTTATATAAAAAAAAACATGAAAAAAACTACTGTATTAACTGATGCCAAGTAAAAAAGTCATCTTGAAGGAAAGATAGTACTTGAGCTCTTATATTTATCAAATGAAGAAAAGGGCAGAGAAGAAATAGAATACAAATACTCCTAGTCCCTGTATGTCACATTTAAATTTGATGTTTTTTTAAAAAAAAGAATTACGCTAAATTTATGAGTATTAACAAAGTTTTAAATCTGAACAATTTTATAAATATGAGCAGTAGTTAATAACTATTTCTTTGAAAATAAAACAGCAGGCCAGAAGGCATAATTAAATGGCAAAAGAAAATGACATCTTTTTAACATAGTTTCCTTACTAATACTGTACATGTGGAATATGAAGTGCACATTTTGTAAAAAAAAAAAAAAGGAGAGGAAGAGAGGTAGGGAGAGACGGAAAGGGGAGCAAAGGGAGGGAGAGAGACAATGAGCATTCTTTTTTGGAACCAATGAAGTAAATATGACTTGGAAATGCCTTGTTGGTAATTATAGCATGCAGCCATTTTAACATGCCTCTAGGTATCAAAGTAACAATCTCTTATTAGGTGACAAGAAATGTCAAAGAGGAACATGTACTGTTAAGGTTCTTAAAGTCATGCAAAAAATGTACAATGCAGTTAATAATTCATGCAAGCTCCGTTGTGGTTACATAATCACATTTATATACATGCCACAAAGTACACCTGAACACTATCCACAATTTAAAAATAAAAGTATAAACCTAGCCAAATGATACTTTTCAACAGCAGCTCTTCAAATCAGATTAGAGAAGCACAGTGCATATCAAATGACATCAGTATTATATTGTGCAGTTTTGATCATACACAACCATATTCATACCAAACAGTTTGATTATCCTCAGAAACCAACAATGCAGCTTCTGTGTCATCAGGATAGAGGCATGCAGGAGTGATAAGATTATTGCTAACTACAGAAGACTGTGGGTTACTGTTACTGCAGTTCTGATTATCAGAAAACTGCTCAGTATCTTTCTGTGCAGCTTTATCCAAAGAAGCAGAAGCCTGGTCAGTTAGCCTGGTGACTGGTCTGGGAGGTAGCCCACTTATGTTACTAACTAATTCTGTATTCAGGGATAAAAATGGCTGAGATGGATGAGCCACAGTAAATGAGTCTATGCTATCTTTAGCTGATATTCCAAATGCATCATTAGACATATTAACAGTGGCAAAAGTTTGGTTTAGAAAATGTGACCTTTCTGTTCTTGAGTTTCTGGCCTGGGCATATGGAGACGTGGGCTTGTCTGTAGCTAAATCATTTTGTGCTTGAGAACCTACAGCATAAGTTGGACTGTGAAGTGGATGAGAGGACCACTGGTGTAAACGGTACTCACTAGATGTTGCAGTGATGCTGCTATCAGCAGTAGCTGGTGGTGAATCAACTGACATAGGTAGTCTACTGTCCTTGGTCAAAAAATCATGGATGCTTGTCCTTCGAGTAGTTCCTTCAGCAGTAGAGATCACACTGCTTGCACGAGGTAAAGTGGCATAGGGATTACTATCTTTTGATTGTCGTGACAGAGAAGTTTCTTTTACTACTTTTATCTTTCCTTGAGTGCCTAGTGTAGGCTTTCCGGAAGAACTAATGAAATAGGTATCTTCAGTCTTTTGAGGACCAGGTCTCACAAATTGTTCAGGCTTAGTTGTCCATCTATCATAGAAGTCTCCTGGAGTTTTTCCACTTACTGACCTGGCCAGACCACAGCTAACTGGTTTGTTTTTTCCCAAAAAGTCAGAAGAGACAGACAAACTTTTCATTACTTCATCTAAAAGATTCTCTTGACTTGAGGGCTTTATCTGTTTTAAAAAAAAAATCAAAGCAGATTAGTGAATACAGCCATGCTTTTACTTTCCTGATACACTAGACTGTACAATAAAAAAAATTGCTAATGTCTCTAAACCCTCCTTTAAAAAAAAGATCTAAAGTTCAACCATAGAAATTTAACTTGTAGTGTCCATCTAAATTAAGGTCACCATAGATAAAACTAACCTGTATTGAGGTAAGCTTGTTGCTTTCTTCCAAAAACTGTTGTAGAGTAACAACTTCACTTCCAGGGGAACCAGTTTTGACCTTGTGATGTGCTCGACTCTCTAGTGTTTTGTGCTGGAGCACTGGACTTGATTTGGGCTGTCTTTTCAAGTATTGGATTGGACTGCTACCACTGCTGGACCACGCCTCATGCTCATGAAGCAGGCTAAATTCTCCACTGCTATGGCTTTGTGGCCTGCTTTGGATATTAACTGCACCTGCTTTTGGAGTAAATGGTGTGTTAAGAGTTCAATAATAGAAATGAGATTAAAACTATGTAAGTACTGACATTTGTTGACTGGATTCTTACGAATAGCCAAACTGACTTTCAAATCTTTATTCAGAAATGCTTAGTAAACCATGTTCATCTCTCATCAGTCTAACAAATGTCAACCATAGCGTGCTTCCTTATTTGTCAAGCTGACAAATATTATAAGCTCCACAGGGCAAAGACTTGCCATCACCACCATACCCACAGCCCAAACATATAAAGCAGGCACTCAATATATTTGATGAGTAAATGAATGAATAAACAAGGAAATAATACATTTTTTAAAAGTCAGGTTCAAATAATTGTAAAACACCTCACAATTTAAAACAAAACATGATTATATGAATTTTTAATTATTTGAGAATGTTAAAACCAAAAACTCTTCTAAATACTAAAAATTCTAATTCTTTGACTTTCTATGAGGTCTGTATTCCTTATTTGAAGGTTTATTTGTTGATCCTAAATGAATAATCTTAAAGAAATATTAAAAAAATTTAAACAGCAAGCATCTAAGGAAAGTCAAATGGAGACATGTAATTACTTAGAAAATTCCAGTAAAAATATAAAATTAAGTATGTAGTATTTTATTCTTTAATGTCTGAATCATCTGATTCTCCCTGCTTTCCACTGTTGGTATGGTGGCTATACAGCTTTCAAAGACTCGGTTGAGGCTGAACAACTATACAGAATGCAAATTAATAGTTCTGGAAAAAAGTTCCCTAAAGTTTATGCTATTCCTTAAGAGTGCTTATTCATTTTGATCCATTGCAAACTGTGTAGATACAGCATCAAGATAGAAAATGTAACTTTCCGTGGTTTCCTAATCACAGAGAATAAAATGGGTCAGGAAAGATTTTGGCTCAAGCTATGTAACATTTTACAGGAAAAAGATTTTCTTAAATTTTCAAATCAGAAAAGACTTACTTACATTTCAGACTATATTTTTCTACAGGATATAAAAACATGATTATAAAAATGAAAAAATAATGCCTCCTTGAAATCAGATTTTTCAGATCATTGCAACAAAGTCAAAGCATTAATAATAAAATATCACAACTGAGACAAAATGATTTTATAATATGAAAAAGCAACAGAACAAATGCACTCATTAGAATTTAACAATTCTGGACTGTAGAGAATAACTACTTTCACAAACCTTTATAATCTATTAAATAATTCCAGAATCTGAGTAGGCAGTATACCTTTAAGGAAAAAGGTGTTAGTCAATACTTCCAGACATTTACATAAAAATCTCACCTTGGAATGCATATTAAAAAATTGAGGAAAAAGATATCTTGAACTAATTTTTTATATGAACTATATGCACCCATTTGGCTCTTGTTACACTTACACACACACACACAATTGTCTTTTCAAATTAAAAAAATATATTCCTCCTTATTTCATGGATAAGAAAAGCTAAAACTATTTCTAAAACACCTTCTGTGAGTTCAATGTACATGTATCATGAGAAAGTTAAGGACAACCACTTTCATGACAATGACAAAATGTAAGTAAAATAGGAACCTATAGATATTTTGAAATATAAAGATTACAAGAAAAAGATTTTATCTGTGAGGATGAAAAATGGAAACTAAAATAACTGCTCCTGTTTTTACATTTGTACACATTGAAATACATTTGTATTGCAATGTGAAAAGTATAAAATATTCCAAGGAACTATGTTCCTAACATAGAATGATCTGGATTTCATACTTTACCCCAGAAACTTCATCAATCTCCCACTTTTAAATCTGGAAATGGATGGAGCATATTAATAAATTTACCTACAGCATACCTTTGACTTCATGGAGTGAAGCATTATTATTGCTATTGCTAGTGGATGTTCTGCCACTATCAAGGCTGGCTGGTCTCGAAGCTAAATGAAAAAATCAGGAGACAGTGATAAAACTTCCAGCTGAAGACAATGAACTTTACATTCTGATTACAGAATGCTTTGAGGAAGCAATCATGCATACTTTCACAGGCTGAGCATGCCCACAGAGAGTTGAATCTTACAGATTAGAGAGCAAAGGCATTTCCAGATAGTTCAGTTAAACAGTTGAGAACAGGACACTTCTCAGACAATAGCTGAGATTCAAAGAAAAGAAGATAAAAGTGCATAATTAGATTTGGAAATGGATTTCTAGATGGATACCAGGACTGTTTTAGTTGAATAGAATGACATGCCCCCCCCCAAAAAAAAACTGGTGATTAGGTCACTTACAACAGATCAGACAAGGAACCCTGCACATTGCAGAGATGCCACGAACAGGAGGAATATGAGCATCTGCACAGTTAATGTCCTGTATTCCTATCCATACAAGGGAAACAATTGCACAGTTAACATGGCCCTATCCTACGTCTTAAAGTCCTGCTTACATATGAAATTCCTTTAACATATTCCTTTACATATGAAATTCCGTTATCCATTATTTGTTAATTTAGTTTGGTAAGATATGACTTTCCAGATAGAAACTAAAAACTCTGAAATGCTCAACATTGCAGAAAATGTGGTTTCTTAGAGTTTGTCCTTTGCCAAAGTGAGTATTTTTAAAATCAAACATAAAATGTATCTCATCACTTTAACCTTATGCCAAAATGGTAACAAAATTACCTTTGAGCATTGTGCAGGCATACTTTATAAATGACCTTGATGAAAACAGAGACAATTCAGATGAAGTAATAACCTTAAAAAAGGCAAAAGGGGGTAGTAGGTTTGAAGAAATAGCAGAGGTAGCTATGAGATGCAGGTTAGAGAAAACATGCTTGCTGGCAGTGCTACATTCAGCAGGTCAATGCAAGAGTCTTAGCATTCTCATTCTGTATGTAATATGTACTCTCTAAATAAAGTTCATATCTTACCATGAACTCTTGATCCCGTACTAGAATCATCACTAATACCTTGTGGACTTACGTCTTCAAAGGATGTAGTATCTACATAAAATAGCAAAATGAATATAAAAATATTTTTAACAAAAAAATTATAAAATTTTATTTATGCAGAATATGGAAATTCTTTTTCAACCATGTATAATACATCTTGATTTAACATATTTCATAGATTCCATGAGAAACGAATAGGAGTAAGAAACAGAATAGCTCTGATGAGAGTTGACTTGCTTAGGGAAAACACCAGAAGCACTGAAACAATCTGCCTGTGACCCTGCAAATCAAAGCAAGAGCCTGGGTTGCTCTATGTGGTTCTCTGTGATGCTATAGTGTTTCTAGGTTTTTTTGTGTGTTTTTTTTTAAAGCTTCTATCACTCTCTCCTTTTCTCATTCTTTTGCTTGGTTTACTTTTCCATTTCTTGTTAGTTCATTATCTGTTTATTATGAAAGGCCTAGGAAAGATTTTAGTTATTTGTACGATGTTTTAAATTTTTGAAATGATTTGAAAATTCCCTCAGATCAAATCCAGATTGTTTTGATCATTATTTCAGGTTGCTGCTGTCAAAAAAGTAAACATGGGAAAGTCAAATTAAAATTCCTGTTGCCAACAGTTACACCACAGTGCAAATAGCAGACGGCCTATACCTTTATTATTAACCAACTGCTTGGATCTGAAGCCTGTAGAAGAGTTGACTGTTGAAAAGTTGATGGCTGTAGTAGAGAAGGCCATAGCTCCCAATTCTTTTCTCCTTTTACCCGTTGCAATATCATCAGGAACCTCCAAATTCTCAGTACTACCTGTCCACTGTCCTCCTGCTAGGACCATGGACTGCACCAGGTCATTCATGGCTGGGATGCAAATGAAAGCAAATGAATCAGCATGGTTAATGTATTTGCTCTTATTTCTATTTTGTATTATAAATGATCTGACTTTTGTCTATGGATTAATGCAAGTGAAATAAAAAACTAACCACAAGGTCATTTGAATTATGACATGCATTCAGCTGAATGAAATGAGTAGGCCGAAGGCTGATAAACTTCAATAAATGTTTTTATCACCCTCCACCCCCTTTAAAAATAGGAAAAGGAATTTTACTCTGTACAACTGCCATGCTTTTGAGCAGTGATGTACAATATAATTAGAAGCCTTCATAATGTGGTTCTGTGGTGACAAAAATGGAATGAATAAAGGTAATATGGAGAGCAGTTCTTTACAGCATCACTATTGAAAATGATAAAGAGTCCTTGGTCAGAGCAGATTACTGAAGAAATTATTCATTTTATGAATCAAATAAGTATACCATTCAATAAAAACCTGAAAGAGAGGATATCCAAAGTGACAGGCATTTAATGTGATTATGTAATTACCTATTCCACTTAAAAAAAGAAAAACCAGAGTATTATTATATAAAGAATGACAAACATTCTCAAGGGTTACAGGCCATTTTATTTATTTATTTAATCCTAGTTCATTAAGAAATTAAATACCTAATGCTAAAAGTTTTGTTATATTTTCTTTAAGTAAATTTCTTTGGGAAGAAATCTCTATGGCATATAAAATTAAAGGTTTTTTTCTGCCAACCTTTAGAAAGTACTGGAAATTTCCAAGTATATTACATGTATGACTAAACATATGCATGTATATGTATAAGTGAATATACATATAATGCAAATTCAGTGCCAGTTATGAAAAAAAATATTCTTCCAGCTCCTTGTATTACAGGAAGACTGCACTTTGCAAAGTAAGAAAATTGGCACAGTCCAAAGAATGGTTAGTGAAAAATTAGTAATGGAAGCCAGTGTAGTCATTTGAAAGAAGCTGAACTGTCATAAAGTCTTACACATGGAACGACGGTAGCAGGCCTTCATTTTGTCTTTATCCTTCGGTCTGTTCCTCAAAAAGGGCAGTCTTTTCAGTGCAACCACTTTAATGTCAGAGCATGAGGAAAAACAGAAACAGAAAAATGAAAGAAAAAAGGGAGAAGAACAGATGGGAGTTAAATGTTGAAATTAAGGACAGAAATGAATGTCTGAGCTTCAGCTATGTAAACTATACTAAAGCTATTATTCTCGTGCTGCTGAGTGATAATGAAATATGAAATATGTACTTTGATACTTTAAAATACTTGGAAAAGCACTGAAGACAATGATGAGAAACATATACTTTGAAAGCCTGGATTGACTGAAGTCCTAGAAATATAGGAACTGATTAGAACAACTTACAGATGGAACAATTTTCCTAGTTAAGTTGTAAAGATACACCTTTATTATTAGGGCCATTATTGGTGGATCACAGAGTACACATGATGAAAATGTAGAAGGCTTTCAGGCTTTCTTTAACTTTTTAAATTGTAAGATTTTATTTTGAAAAAAAAAGTAATTCAGAAAAATGTACATCCTGTACATTTTTAGTACAGGCATTAGTAAAATGCCTCAACAAAAACTAGGGGATGTTTAAAATAATCTAAAGAAACTTAAAAAAACTTCCGTTATTTCATTAAACTTTAAAAAAGAAAATAGGGAATTACTTCTTGGTTTAAACTGAATTCTGGTGCATTATTTAGCAGCACCACAGAAATATATACTCTTCTAAGAGAAGTCTTTCAAAAGATGACAATTATATTAATTTCATTTTGCAAAAGGTTGGCTGCGAGAAAGAAAAAACAGTGTTTTGATAGTAGCTTTTAAGCTTTGATAAGCCTAAAAGATAAAGAGGTAACCTAAAGCAAGCAAAAATGACAGAAAAATATGTATTTATAACATTTTTAGATATTTTAAAGGGCTTTTAGGGTTATTAAAAAAAATCAAAGGTAGCACTATGCAGGAAAATTATATGAAGGAAAATTAGGGTTATACTACAGTAGGAGCTGTTAACATAAAAATTAAAATGTTCACTAGAGTCACTAACATTCTTAAGCTACACTTTAAGAAGATTTTAATACGAAAAACTGTTACACCTTTTTGGAACTGCAATTTAAGAGCTAGGGGAAAAACTCACATCAAGATTTAAAAGCATACTGTACACAGCCTTAATAACTATGCTGTTTCTCAGGGTTTGCTGTCATCTTATAAATAATAAAAAGCTCTTCTGACAAACTGATGAGTATCACTCATTAAGGAGAATGCAAGGATGTACAGCTTTTTAACTTATTTATTTGATTGCTATTAAGAATAGTCATGATTCATTTAAGCTTTTATTTCATTTCTAGGTTGGTTAAACACAGCTGTTTTCAATGATTAAAAAGAAATGAACTGAAAGCAATGTAAAAATGGACACTTAGCTAAAACAAAGCTGAGTGGTTGCAGCATGCACACATTGTCTTGTTTAGATACTTTCTTTTCCTGTTTTAACTGTTTTCCATAGACTGCTTTACTGACAGACAGGCACTCATCCAAAATGGACAGGATAAAAGGAGTTTTAAAATTGCCAGTGGTGGAATGTGATCCTTCTTATGGCAATTAGTTTGCAGATATACAATGTTCTCTTCCCAAACTATATTGAAATTAAGGGAACATTAGAATGGTTGGGTTTTGCGTTTATTTTTAAAATTCTAAAACTGAACAACTGCTGGAAAGGAGAATATTCCTTCCTTCTGATTCTTACTCTGGATGTTTCAGCAGAGAGTATGAAGGAATGACAGATTTATATTTAAAACAAACAAGCTTACCTCAAAAAAGACTGTGCCTTTCTTTTGTATATTTTCATATCAGAATTGAAATATCTTCCTTTAATTAAAAAAATTAAGTATACCCATGACCATTTCTCATTAAATATGATGTAAGATATTTTATATTCAAAGGTAGCAGATAAAATTGAATCATCTGGCACCTTTTTAAGGAAAATTTGATGATCTCTCTACCATACTCACAGGTTTCATGTAGATTTGGCTGACAAGACTAATCTTATATGGATATACAGAATTAAACCACTTTCTTATACACACACACACTTGTACATATGTATGTATATATATATGAATATGTACTCAGGTATGTGTATGATTTTTTTGTTGCTTACTTGTGGATTCTAGTTTATAGGGTGCTATAGTTGCATTGTGAAATATAGCCTATAATGAATGTCTAATCTCCTACACTCTAAAATACTGTTTTTTCAGAGATAATTCCCCTGAGGACAAAAGAACATCTATATAGTTTTTTGAGTGTTTTGAGAGCTGCGCATATGGAGAGTTTACCCCTGGGGGAAGTAGTAGCTGTTTTTGCCTATACTATACTTCAGAAGAATAGTACTGAAATTCATATATATATACACACACACACACATACACGCATATATAGTTTACTATATGTATATATGTTTATATATGTGTAAACATATATACATACATATACTTTTAAATTTAGTGATTCTGGTTATAGTGTGAGTGGATTCATAGTATCCTGTTTACATATTTTATAAGAACATTGCTAGTAGTCAAATTCTTGTACATCTTCAAAGGGCCTACCACTGGATTCTTTTCTTTCTCTTAAAATACACTTTTTTGGCTTTTACTTTGCTCTCGATGTTTAGCAAAGTGCACTAATAATGAAATCAAGAGAGTATTAATTGTATAGGGCACGTTATGATATTATACTTCTACATTTGTAATTTAAAAAGTTAAATTGCAAGTTTATGCACAAACTTATATCTCTATATCTATTTTATTTTCATTGAACCTTTACCAAACAATCCCTTAATAACTTTTATAACCTTAAACTATTTCTAAATCATTGAATAACATTCTCTTCAAATTCATAGCGATTTTTCTTTGCTTCCCCACAATGTAACTTTTCTCCAATTTGACAGCATCAAAGTATGAGTGAGACGTCATTATAAAAAGCCTTATTTTTAGGTTATAAATAATTTTGAAAATGAGCTCTTATAAATATTTCTCGGTTGCTCCTCAAAATTGCCCTGTGAAGTATGACACAAAGGTAAAAGGCTTGCCCATGTTAACAGGACTAGCAAGTGGCAGAGGTATTCTGGCTCTCATTTCACTGGTCTTTCTGTACTATTTTACCTCCCTGGCCAAATGATGGTATCTCTGTGTATGGTATTTCTCTAAATACACAATATAGAAAATCATGTGGTTATGCAGTATTGCAGTAGGCAATGAATTTTAAAATGATATGGAGTTAAAAAGAAACACATTCATCAGACTATTATCCCAAAGGACTGTGGAAGCTATTTAAAAGAAATCTTCAGTAAGGATTCTAAATCAGTACTAGAGATCACAAATGTTTAAAGAGTTTAAGCACTCACTGCTGCTTTTCTTGGTCCCCAGAGTTTGGCCATCTTCTAAAGAGTTTGAACCTACTGAAGAACTGTCTTGACTATCTTGATGGGGGAGTTGAAGAAATCCTTCACTGGAGTCTGAGCGGGTTGGTGTTAATGTTAGTGATTTCTGACGCTCCCGATTAATGTCTTTCTTAGACTTTATCAATTTTCTCATTTTTAGAGTAATCCAGTTGCCTCTCCTAAAAAATAATTTAAAAAAATTCTTATTAGTCTAACATTCAACATATGAGTCCCTCTCAAAATCAGAAGCTTCTGTTTTGTTTTGTTTTAATAGAAATGAAAATAAACCTGGTTAATAGTACCTTCTAGGAGGAGATGGGTCATAAAATTTGTATTGATCCATAATTTTCTCTTCTAATTTCTCCTTTTGTCGTCTTAATTCATTTAACTTATCACTATAAAAATAAAAGGACATGCATCATATTTTGTACAGTTATGAATGGTATTATTTGGGGACTATGATCTAACTTCTCCCCAGAACATAAAGAAATACAGATACCACGTTTGACAACTAAGAATTTAATAGGTAGTAACAATGGAATTTTTCTAAGTTTCTCATTTTCTTTAAATTTACGACTTACTTAAATAAAAGGACATAGGACTTAAAGTTTCAATTCTTCAATAGGATTTTTGTTTGAAGAAAATCTTCCATATTACAATATCATCATGACAAAAGAATTCTCTCAACATCTTTTTACAGCTATTAAACAACATTATATCAACAATGACTATTCCCCTATTCTTGGATCTTTAGTATATCAAATCATTTTTGGTATGAAGGGTGATTTATCATAATTTATATAGGCAAAAAATTAAAATGTTGGATAGCTTGCTTAACAGTTACAAATACAATAAATAATCCTACAATGACATCTTCATGCAAACAGATTTTTTTCTTTTATGGCAGAATTATTTAGGCTTAATTTACTAGTAGAGAATTATTTCCTGCCTCCAGGAATGCATGAATACACTAGCTTCACCACATCTTAGTTTCATTTTTATGTTCTTCACAGTATATATTATATAGGGAAATGAAAGTAAAATGATCTCTCTAAGAAAACTGTGATGCCAAAGAATACTATTTATTAAACAAATATTTAGCGATCATTCACAGTGAGGAAGGCATGAGCCATGAGGTGTATATAAAGATGAATAGTAAGTTGCCCAGCTCTGCTTATAGTACAGTAGGAGAGAGAAGATACATACACAAATGACTGTTATAATCCAAAATAATAGTCATGACAAAATAAAAATACCGTGGAAGTACCAAAGGAACTTATAAAAGGGAAAATATTTCCATCTTGGATGACCAAGGAAAGCCTCATGAAGAAAAAGGCCATTATCAGATAGACTGAAACAAAAAATAAAAATGCTAAATTAAACAGCTGAGCTGAGAATAAGGAGTGAGGGAGTTTCACGTTTAGATTTAGCTTGACAGAAATTCAGAAGTATTGAAGGTTTCACTACAATGTGACATTATAAAATCTATGCTTTAGATACCTTAACTCAGTGATGGAAGAGGATATTATCAGAAAGGATGGAGGTAAAGAAAGCATTCAGGATGCTAATGGGGGTAGCCTAATTGAGTGGGAGGGAAGAATTAGGGTAGTGGGAAATAGAAGGAAATGATTTGAGAGTTTATATGGAAGAAGAACTTTGTGAACAGATGTTGCCATTAGTTATACCACAGCTCAAATAGCACACAGCCTATACCTCCCAGTTCTTTTCTCCTTTTACCTGCTGAAATATCATCAGGAACTCCAAATTCTCAGTACTACTTATTCACTGTCACTCCTACTAGGACGATGTGACAGAGGCATTCAGCTAGAACTGTCTGACATGTAAGATGATATTTTAAATTTAAATTCAAAAAGTCAGAATAGGTACTAATATTTATAAGTCAACTGTATACATATGATCACTGAAACCTTAGAAATGGATTATTCACCAAAGGTCATAATATTAAGAAGATGAAGTGTTGGATAATACCTCTGCTTAAGGGACAGGAAACTTAAATGCTAAAATTTTAGATACACTCACTGCTTCTTAAGCTAAAATACCCCTTATGGCAGAGAGTAAAGGCATACATGCTGCCAAAAGGATTAAAGATCCAAAGTGGCCAGCCCCAAATGTGAAATTTCTTTGAAATTTACATTTACCTTGAAAGTTCACACAAACTCTACCTTTTGCTCCTTGGTATCCCTGTATATTAACATAAAAATAATGTTCCTTGCCCCAAATTTTGTAATAAAATTGACACTTAAAAAAATGTATAGTGTATCCTGGTTTCATATGTGCCCTGAAGCTCACCATTATATACGTTAAGTCTGAAAGTCACATATTATTTCATTTACTCCTTAGGATAATGCTGGAAGTACGTGTTATATCTCTATTTTAGAGAAAAAGAAACCAATGATCAACGAAATGAAGTAACTCGTCTATAGTCACATAACTAGTAATGAGAAGAATTAGGATTTGAATTAGGAGCTGTCTGATTTCAACATCTGTGCTATTTCTATTATACTATGGTGCTTCTCATTTAGGCAACAAGAGGAAGAGAAGAATTTAGTAAAGGTGAATCATGGTGTATTACAAAGACTATCCACTGAGCTAACCTGGCCAAAATCTCTGATTTTACCAGATTCCTACACTCTCAACAGAGAAACAACTTACCAATAATTAAGCTCTGTCAATTCTATCTTTCACATCTCTCTTGTATTGATATTTGATCTCAACTACCACTGCTTGTGAATTATTTTTCATTAGATTATTGCAACAGCCTTCTTAAAACTTATTCCTTGTCTCTATTCTTAGAACCTCCAATCTACACTCTAATGTCATCAGTGGTTTAAACAAACAATCAATCAAACAAACAAAAAGCACAAATCTGATCACATCTCCCCGATCAAATTTTTCAGCAAGTCTTTTTTATGGCAAAGAAAACCTTTGTCAAGTGGGTCCTGAGTGTTTAGCCACTTCTCTGCTACTCCTCCTTCCTCAAATTTTGTTCCAGCAAGAACAATTAATTTTTAGATCCTATACCACAGTAATAATATACTTTCATCACACCTCCTGTTTCTGCATTTGCTGCTCTCTTGGCCTGGTATGCCTCCTTAGGCAAACTCCTACTGAACCTTTAAGTCTCAGCTCAAGCAATCATCTTTAAAGTCCACCCTCTCTTGCAGACTAAGGTATTCCTTCCCTTGTATTTGCTGTATTTCTATGGTTTCCTATACATACCTCCATTACAGAATTTATTTGTATTTCTTGCTTTATATTAATAGTTCATTAAGAGTAGGATCCATGTGTTTTTATGTTAGTTTTTCTGGTTATTAGCCCAGAACATAAACATTAAAAATATATATATCAAAATAATAATGTTGAAAATCAAGAAAAATTAGCATTGCATTTCCTCTGCCACCAGGTATGGCAATGATAAAATCATGAGTAATATTTCAGAGTGTAAGATTATTTGGTACCTACATGTACTGTCTTTGTTCAACATGAAAAAGATCCTTGCTTTCCATATTCTGCTCCAATAGTGTTCTGTTCTGTAGCATTAATGTCTGAATTTGATCTAGTAGATGTCGATTTTCCTCTTCTAAATTTCCTTTAAGTTGGCTTAGCAACTGTTTAAACACAAACATTTATTTTTTAAAATATCAACATTTATATTTAACATAAATCCCCCAAAAGATCTGAAAAATGTAAGTACTTCACAAAGATTTAAGTCTTCTGCGATTTGAACAATCAGATAGTTGTACTCTGATTAGAACATGAGTGATTATTTTAGTAATAATGACAGCTAAATTACTGGATTATGTGCTGGACACATATGTTTTCTTAATTCTCACAAACACTGGGTTTAACATATAATAAATTATCTAGTTCCAAAAACAAACACTGCTTTCTTTACAGCTGTTTGACTTAGAGTCCAAAGCTAGATTCCTATCTCTGGCCTTCCATTTAAGTAGCTCTAAAATGCTGAACAAATTAGTAACTCTCTGAGCCTCAATGACCCCACCTATAAATTGAGGATAACAACTCCCATCCCCCAAGACTGTTGCAAGGATTAAATAATATATATAAAGTACGTGGTGTCATGCCTATGGCACACAGTAGGTACTTAATATACCTCATTCTTCCCCCAACCACTGTTTTCAAGAAACCTTAACAGTTTGTGTATAATTTTTATGGCTTGATCCAAGGGAGTCAGGTAATCTAGTATCAATAAATGGGTGGGGGCTTCCCTGGTGGCGCAGTGGTTGAGAGTCCGCCTGCCGTTGCAGGGGACATGGGTTCGTGCCCCGGTCCGGGAAGATCCCACATGCTGCAGAGCGGCTGGGCCCGTGAGCCATGGCCGCTGAGCCAGCGCATCCGGAGCCTGTGCTCCGCAACGGGAGAGGCCACAACAGTGAGAGGCCCGTGTACCGCAAAAATAAGTAAATAAATAAATAAATGGGTGGTATTACTACTGATTATTACTAGTAGTTAGGCTGCCAGCATGATTGAGCTACTTCTTCTCTGTAGTCAACAGAAATTAGAAATATGCCTTAGTTAGGCCAGAGGTTTCAGTAGAAGTCAGAGAGCCCAAAGTAGTGATTGTCAAAATTTAGTGTCACTTGTAGAATATATTTTTTAAACATAGGGAAAAAAAGCAAGGAAAAAAAAAAAAAGAAAAAGCAGATAGTATAATACTATGAATATCCATAAATAGCCATCTAGATCTAACAACTGTCAATACTGTGCTATATTTGTTTTATTTATCTATATGTTGTTAAATTGAAATACAACATATGTGGTAGATTCACTGCAAAATTGAATGCAGTGCTCCTCCCTGTACCCTCTTGTGCTGTGACTTCTCACTTTTCCTATCAAGAAGTGGAATCTACTTCCCCTCTTCTTGAATTTGGAATGCCTTTGGCCAAGGGAAGGAGGCAGAAGTGATGGTGTGATAGTTCCAAGCCTAGGCCTCAAGAGGCTTATGTGCTTCCCTTCAGTCTCTTGGAATCCTATTGGAGGATGAGAGACCACATGGCACAGACAAGTTACACCAGCTGGGGCCACCTTAGACCAGCTAGCTCTCAGGGTACGTGCCAGCTAACTGCAGATACAGGAGTAAGCCCTACCAAGATCAACTGATCTTAGCGCACACATCAATGCAGATTAGCACATCTGCTCAGCTAACCCAGACTCATGAGCAAAAATAAATGTTTACTGTCTGTTACCACTGAGGTTCTATGGTTCTTATACAGCATTACTGCATCAGTAGACAACTGATAAAACATATATACAGAAAAGAGAACAAATTTTAAGTGTATATACAGCTCAATGAATTATCACAAAATGAACTCATATGTGAAGCAGCACCCAGATCAAGAAACAGCACATTAATTGTATCCCAGAAACACTTGTTGTGGTCTCTTCCAATTACCACCCCTTCCCACAAACATTAACTACTATACGAACCTCCGACACTATGGATTCATTTTTCCACTCCCTCCAAATCATGTTATTATATGACTTAGCCCCTACCCAAGGGTTAGCATTTGACTCAAGTTGGGACAATCAGCCAGGCATAAGGTAGTTAGGGCCCTTTCTGATCTCTCCTGAGCAGTCTTCTAGACCACCAGTGACATGTAGGACCTTATCAAGACAAATTATGGCTAGCTGTCTCATTCCTTGGATCTCCACATTAAATTTCTGAGTAGTTTCCTGGTCTGTGACTTGCCACATATAACATTCCAACCTCAGGCTATCTGAGAGTTGACCTTTGACAGCCCTCCTGGGTGTGGAACTCTCCTGTTCTCTGCTCAAATCAAGCCAGTCCCCTCCAGTAGCAAAGTGGTTGGTTTTCAAGGCTTGCCCCTTGCCTGAGCTACCAGGTATGGAGAAAAGGGAGGAAGGGACTAAGAACGGGAGAAGTCACATGATAAAATGCCTCAAACAACCTCCTACCCAAAGCTGAGTAGTTTTTCTTTAACAAATTCTTCTCAATTTGTTGTATGTCTTTGCTTGAGTTCCAGAGCCCTAAAATGGTTGTTTTTGATAGTTCTGTCCAATTTTATTGTTTCCGGGGAAGTTGATTTTGTCATGTTCTTCACTGTACGTCATGTTCCTCTGTAAGTGTATTACCCCAATTATATTTTATTTAAACTTTTATAAATCACAGGCAGAATGAATGTTCTATAATTTCTGAACTCTGTTGGGTAATTAAATATGTATGATTTCAAACTAACTTTTCTATTAGTTTGTGATTTCAGACAAAAAGCTTTTAAGTATTACTTTTCTGATGCAGTCTATTCCTAATTCCATTTAAGGGTTTGCTTAAGTGCTGGTTTCCTAAAAGTTCCAAGAAATTCAGACGTTAAGCTATACTCAAGCTTTAACAATTTAGGGACCAATCATAAAATTTAAGAATTATTTAAGGCTTTCAATATCCTTTTCCTATTTCAAAACTTTTATCGCTTTATCAAACCATCATGGGAAGAGGCATAGAATTATGTTAAGAGTAGAACTGTAACAGGGCGAGAGAGAGGCATGGACATATATACACTAACAAATGTAAGGTAGATAGCTAGTGGGAAGCAGCCGCATGGCACAGGGATATCGGCTTGGTGCTTTGTGACCGCCTGGAGGCGTGGGATAGGGAGGGTGGGAGGGAGGGAGACGCAAGAGGGAAGAGATATGGGAACATATGTATATGTATAACTGATTCACTTTGTTATAAAGCAGAAAGTAACATACCATTGTAAAGCACCAATAAAGATGTTAAAAAAAAAAAAAGAGTAGAATTGTATACATAAGGCAGATGTCACTTCTGTTCAAAACTCACCCCTGTTTTACTCAGAAAAGTGTTTTACAATGGCCTATAAAGGCAACATATCTGGCCCAGGCATATCTCTGAGCTCATCTCCTACTACTCTCCCCACTTTGCTCATTCCACTCCAGCCACACTAGCTTCCTTGAGTATTCCTCAAACATAGCAGTATTCCCCTGACCTAGGTTCACTGTGTGGGCTGTTTGCCTGGAATGTTCTTTCCCCAGATATCCACATAATAATACACTAATCTTCAAATCTGTGTTCAGGGATGCCTAGTTAAAATTTCAATCTATACTCCCTCATCCACTTTGGGGGTCCTTATCCCCCTTTACCCTACTCCATTTTTACTTGCACATAACTTATCATCTTGTAACATACCATATGTTGCAGACTAATCTTCAAAATGGTTACAGCAGTATTTCCAGTCCATATGCTCTTCCGGAATCTTGCCATTCACCATCAAGAGGCTGAGTCTATTTCTCTTCCCCTTGAACCTGGATGGGACTTTGACTGCCTCGGTGAATAGAATGCAGGGGAAATGATGCTGCATGACTTCTGAGGCTTGATCATTAACATAGAGATGGCTTCTGTTTGGTTCTCACCACATTGTGAGAAAGCCCAAACCAGTCCATGGGGAGAGATCACGTGAAGAGGAAACTGATGCTTCTAGCCGAAAGCCAGCATCAACACCAAACATGCACTCAGCCTTTCAATCTTCCAACTGAGGGCCCAGATGCAAGTGGAGCAGAGACAAACTGGCCCCACTGTCCCTGTCCAAATTCTGACCCACAGAATATGTGAGCATAATAAATGGCTGTTTTTATACACCATGTTTTGGGGTAAATTGTTACACAGCCATATGTAATGAAACACTGAAACACTATATATTTCACTTACTTATTATGTTTATTGTCTGCTTCCTTCCACCAGAATATAAGCTTCACAAGGAAAGAGATTTTTACCTTTTTGGTTTACTAATACATGCCAGGTGGTCAGTAAACATTTTTTCATTAAACAAGGGTTAATTGTTCAAAGTATCTGAACATATAAGTTTAAACTAATAATAAAAATTGTTGAAATTAATGATAAAGGAAGAAGGAAGTTCTTCTGAATGATTTGTGAATTTCAATTATCCCTGACCAATTCTTTTGGAAATACCCCACTAAACATATACTGCTATTATCATTATTATAATATGATTGTTTACTTTTTAGGCAAGTCTTGATACCTAAAGAGAAGGAAACAGCAATTAAACTTATTAAGCTCACCTCACACTGGTTATTTAGCTTGGTGGATGTGATGTCCAGTTGTTGGTATTGTTCCTTTAACTTTGAAAATTCAGCTTCTAATCTTGTTTGTTCCAGTCTGGAACTATTTAGAAGACTTTTCAAGTTTTTATGGTCAGTTTGTAAAACTTCAGTCTCTTTTAAAAGCTGATTATATGTATGATTCAACCTATAATTAGAAATCATGATATAAATAGAGTTAGATTCTCTTAATAGATTTCATTATAATTTACACAGTGTGAAAATGCTGTAAATCACATTAAGACATACTTAAAGAATATAAAAGATTCTCTTGCCAGTGATTAAACTTATCAAGAATCAGTTTCTAGTCTGTAAAAACTATACTTTAAAACTTTTAAGTATTAATTGAAAAATATTTAGATTAAAGGACAAAAGAGAAAATAACCAATCCAGTTTTGATTAACCTAGAGAATTCAAAGATTCTACAATTCAACATGAAAAATAAAGAAAAATCAGATCGAGCAAATTAATCAATCCAGTATGAGACATGGTAATCTATCAATCTGTTGCCAGATAACTGAGATATACAAACTTCAATCAAAATTTTAGTTATTGAGGGCTTCCCTGGTAGCGGCAGTGGTTGAGAGTCTGCCTGCCGATGCAGGGGACACGGGTTCGTACCCTGGTCTGGGAAGATCCCACATGCCGCTGAGCGGCTGGGCCCGTGAGCCATGGCCGCTGAGCCTGCGTGTCCGGAGCCTGTGCTCCGCAACGGGAGAGGCCACAACAGTGAGAGGCCCGCGTAACGCAAAAAAAAAAAAAAAATTTAGTTACTGAGATTTCTGCAGTTGTGGCAAATTGTTCATATTTATGCAGTCCTCAATTATTCATGATAAATTTTGGATTTTTTTGTAAAAATCACAGTATAGCCTTTTCTGTTCCTTTCCACTATTATACCTTTAGAACAAGGTCCACTGACCTCTAGGAGGGAGATCAGCAAATTCTTTCTATAAAGGACCCGAGAGTAATAAATACCTTGGGCTTTGTGGGTCGCATGCAATCTACAGCATGCTCTTCTTTTTTGTCCCCCACCACAACGTTTTAAGATGTAAAAACGGTTCTTTGTTTAGGGTTGTACCAAAACAGGCTGCAGGCTGGATGTGGTCTGCTAAACTAGCTGTAGTTTACTAACCTTCATCTTATGGAAGGAATTAAGATCAGGAACCCACAAAAGGCGGAGGGAGCCAAACAAAATAAACTTTTGCTCAGGATGGTACTTGCTCAGAACATCTAATAATTTAATTCAACTCATTTTCCAAAGAATCTGAGTAAGCTTATAAGAATTATAAATAATAATATATTAAAAAAAATCATGACTTGGTAAAAAAGTAAAATGGCAAGACCAGAAACATACAATAAACACCCCATTAATAGGTTGAATCCATGTATGAATGCATGCCATGTGTGTAACAGCTGGGCAAACCTCACTGAGGCATAGAGACAGCTACATAATGCTTCATGGCAGGAGGGGATATAAAGAGGTAGAATAGACAATGTCCTCAATATCATCTCACTGGCAAATACTAAAATAACCTCTTTAAGAGAGTTTTTTTACATTGTCCCTCAAAGCTGAGAACGTTAACACCAAAATGCAATTCAGTGAACATAATTCTAAAGAGACCAAGACAACCTAGTCCACCAACTTTCTTGGTTTGGCATTATCTAAGATTAAAACTTACGCTATTTAGAGAAATGGATAAACTACTGTTCTTTAGATTAAGTCTTCAAAAATATCTTTTTTTTTTTTTTTTTTT